AGAACAATTTTATCCAACTTATACGGGATCGCGGGCACATGGGAGTCGAAGAAAATGAAGAATACGGTCAGTTAGCCAGAATAGCTGCTGCCTCGACCCCGATAGGACTTCAGCTCTTACATGCGATAGGTCATAACACGAGAAAGCAACCGTTCGGAAAGGAAAATGCCAAACTTAGGGAACTGCTTTTGGCGAAGCATCATGGCTAAGAGCCTACTAGGGGGCTAAAATGTAAAGAGATACATGCAATTCATAAACCCTCCCAAGGAGAGGCTAAGAACTATTACAGGATTTTTGACGGCTCATTGCACGCTAGGAGGTCACTTGCATAAACTAGGGATCTGGTGACGCGATCTATGTCGCTTTTGTGTCTCCCTCGAAGACACATCATTGAACCTCCTTCTGGAGTGTGAGGCGGCAGAAAAGAGAGGTGCATAGGACATACATATATGGCCAAAAGAAAAGCACATATACTCCCTACGTCTGTGATCTATACCGAAATTGATAGGGGCTTTAGATGAGCGATGTGCCGAGGGAGCTTTTTCTCTGCACACGCCTATACAAAATATATAGAAAGCTTAAAAGAGCTTTGCCCGCGGGCAAGGCAGTGTCCATCAGTGCTTTAGATGAAGTGTTGTGATGAGCTGAATGCACAATAGACAAACTGGCTGCTCGTGCTAACTCCAGTTATATCTATCTATCTATTGTGGTTACTAGGTTAATTGGATCATGTCCAACGGAAGCCTTGAATGTAATCTGCTATATGCCACCGACTGAATGCTTATAAGGTAGAGTGCTTTACAGATTGCTTATAGTGAGGTTGAGGAAACACTGTCTGTGAAAAGATATACACTGAGAAGAGGGTCACTCTTTCAAAGATCCAAGCATTCGCAAAAAATCTAAATATGTTGGACCTTAACTTCTCTTCAAGAAACTCTTCCTTCAAGGAAAGAGTGAAAGGATGCTTTTACGAATGCTTAGAAGCAACTAGTTTTACGGATGGCCCAAAAAAAGCCAGGCGGTGACTAAGGCACTTGGCTCTGTAAATATAACTTCCAGCATAATAAAAAAGGCAAAGAATACGTTACGGATTTAGTTGATTGGCATTATCGTTGCATTGATCTGGGTGTTGGGGCGAAGCAGCACTCATGCCCACGAAATGGCCCTCGAGGTAGTCAAAAGCGGGTCGGCTGTGGATATCTCAGTGGCAGAAGAGGTTTTTATAACTCTGAGATATATCAAAGGCCGCATATATCAGCATTGGAAAAATGATGCAAACATCTAAGGTCCTGCCGTTTTTACAGTATACTGGACCCTGGGCACTCATTAAGCAAGCATAGCACTGGAACACCACACTTCTTGTCGCTGCTGTAACTTATTGAATGCCAAATTGGCCAGCATTTTATAGGACGAGAATTAGGTTTATAGGCAAACCTTTCTATTGCAGTCTAATGAAAACAAGTGGTATTAACTCTGCCTATTGTACGTATTAGGCTCCCGACTCGGAGGAGCTGCAGACCAAACAGTCCGAACAAACCGAAGAGAGATAGCGACTAGTCTTTTACTAGTCTTTTACTAAGCAGCATAGTTTCAGACGATCAAGCTTATATCAGTATCGATAGTCAAACAGCCTTGAAAGCAATAGCATCTAAAATAGTGAAATCTGGGACGTTGGCATCACCGAGGCATATCAACGTCGGTCTATGTTGGATCATCGGATGCACCAATATTGAAACGAATGAGTCGGCTGATGAGATGGTGGCCAGATACGGCTCTGAGATCCAAATTGACGAGGTGGATAGCTCCGTACATTATGATCGTTACTAATGACTCGCGGAACAAGCGCGAAGACCGTGAGATCTTAAGATATTATGGCCGCGGAAAAATACGAAAAACCGCCTGAAAGTCAATAGATCTGCAGTAAGAGTCCTTACCGATATCCTCATGGGACACTATGCTATAGCAACAATGCTTTCACGTTGGCGAATACCAAGTGATTGACTCTCTGAAGAAGCTGCCGCGATGAGGATGAGGAAGAATCAATTGACCACTTGCTGTGTCGATGTCCGAAGCCGCCTCAAGCACTTGGGTTCGCGCTTCTTCAACAACCGTTTGGGCGAGATAGCGGAGGTGGAACTGTTGGATCTCTTCAATTTCAGTAGCGATATCAATTGGTTCAGTAGGATAATGGCATAAAAGGATTTAGGATTGGGTGACACTCGCTTGAAGAGGGCACCCACAGTGGACAACTTTGTCTCCGAATGAAAGTATGGAACATTTTTGTCTCTTTTCATTTAAAATTACGATTTGTTACGAAATCGTTTGATTATTGGTGTTGCTATACTTTTCACTTCAACCGAGAACCATTTGTCTTTAAACGTTGTGCCTTGATGAGCTATGCACATAGACCTCAAAAATACATTTACTGCGACTCGGTCCGCATTTTTCCGGACGTTGGGTGACCGTCAGTCAGCTCAAGCCGCAACTTGAACTTCCTTTTACTTTAAATTTATTTTATTTTATAACTTCGCTTAGCTATTTTGTCATCATTGTATGAATACCCCTAATGCGTAATACTAAGGTACATATTTTACATAAAATTAAAATAACGTAGAAACTAATTTTTGGAAATACGTAATATAAATTTATTGTGTTAGGAAGCATATTTGTAAGTAGTATTTGTATCTATAAGGAAAGCTAAAATTAAATATATTTTCTTTTAACATAAGTAAATCGAAGTAAAGCTTAAAAATGCGACCAAAAACTCGTTTAAACGGCATTTGATAAAAGTGCATTGAAAAGTTTATACAATTTACCAGAGGCCCTAAGGGTTATTTTGCGAGATTAAAACTGATGTTTTTAGTATTTGATTAATGCACTCTACAAAAACCTTTACAACGTATTTAAAAAATACGAGCTTTACTGTAAATACGTAGCACCGCCAGCAAAACAAAATGCCAAAAGTCAATGGTAAGTAACTTAAAACTTGCAATTTATTTTGTGTGCTAAAAATTTTAACTAAAAAGCTCAAAATGATGTCGAATATTCCAAATTTTTGTACAAAGTTTGAAATTCGGATTTGCAGGGTTTTCTTTTGATGTCTTTTATAAAAGAATAATAAACTTCAAATAAACCAAAGAAAAATAGCTAAAACTTGTTAAAATGGTGCGTTCTTATTTTTTCGCCCTCCTCTGTATGTATGTAGTTGCTATTATTTAGTTTCATTGACTTAATATTTATTATTAAATAGTTGTTATTTAAAGAGAAAATATATTGTACACTGACTGCTGCGGAAACTCAATAAGAATTTCTTTTAATGAGGTTGTAAATACATATACATAGTATGTATGTGTCTATATAAGCTAATTTTTATTTAAATTTGGCAAATTAGCTACAAACATTGCTGCTTTAAAAATAATAGAAATGAAACTTTTTCAAGTAAAAATTTTTTCATTATTTGGAGGCATAAAACACTTTTTTATTTATTGAACAGACGAGTCGATTTTATAGTAGATTTTTGTCGTTCAACCCAACGGTAATTAAACCGTAAAATGTAAATGATTTAGCTAGTCGATTTTCTAGTCGGCAGAAATCGACCCGTGTAAAGGCAGCTTAAGAATGTCAGAAAGTGCTCTGTGTCGAGTGAACCTCAGTCCATTCGGCTATCCAAGGAACGTAGATAACAATCTCAATACCCTTTAGTACAGAATGTGGTATACCCTCAATCATATTTGATAAGTTATACATCAGGGTGGCCCAAAATTTTTATCCTCTAGCCAGGAGACAAAAATTTTTTATTTTCAAATTTATTAATGCTTACCCGTGCCGCCGGGGCTTTGAACTTTCCCATCTTTTTTACTTGGGGAAAATACATTTTTTCGTAAAATTACTATAAAATCGTTAAAAATAAATATGTTTTGGTCGAAAAAAAACTATTTCCCTTCAGAAGTCTTCAAAAAATAACACTATGATGCTTATTTAACATAAAAATTATACTAAGTGTGTCGTAATAAACGATAACCCTATCTGATATATACAAAAATTTGTTATGTTTATGTTTTCATAACCGCATCACGCCCGAACAGCTCAATAGGTGTCTTTAATTCTTTTCTGCATTCTACTCATTGTTTTCTGTAGGTTTGTGGTAAAAATGTAGAAAAATAGGGTTGCCAGATATTTGAAAATTTAAAATTATTAAAAGCGTTTGAGATATTTAAAAGTATTTTTGAACTGGGTTGCCACCTTTCTAAAAAATAGAACAATGATTATTAAAAATTTAAGCTTATTTAATACCACAATATTGGCATCACACAAAAGGTGTACGCATAAGCTTTGGACTAACATGTTTTTAAAAAATATTGCCAACCCTCTGTTAACTAAGAGCTTTGGAGCAGAAAAATTTTGGGCCGCCCTAACGTATATTCTTCAATTCTGAGGGCGGGCGCAGGAAAAATCAAAAAATTAGATTTTCCTATGTACTTTTGGGCCACGCTGATATACATATGTATAGTGTTTTGATACCAACACGGCTGGATTAGTATGACAAACCAGGGGGGCCTGAGCAACATAACAATAAATCACTGCTTGATGTGGTTTTTGGATTGGCGGAGTCAGTGGACCGTACTTCTTCGAAACTGTGGTCGGTAACGCTTTTCGATGAACGGTGAACGTTACTGGTTCATGATAACCAAATTTTATGCCCTGAATTAGATGAAATTAACTAGGACAGTATGTGGTTTCAACAGGACGATGCCACTTGCCACACAACGCATGAAACAATGGCCCAATTCTGAAAAACTGCGATCTTATTGCATCACCCTAAATTTGAAAAAGTATGCTCCACAGAAGCTAATGTTTGGAAGAACAAATACTTTCTCCAGAAGCATATTATACCTCCAAGTATCCACTAAAAATTATTTCATAACTAAAATTAACATACCTTTGTAAATACTCCATACAGTTACATACATAAATACTTTAATGAATAAATAAATTGTTGCTTATTCGCTACTTGTTGTGATGGGTTCGATTTTTATATTACTGGAACTTATATTACCGCTCGTTGCGCTGGATGTTATGCTAACTTCCGTATGACCGCCAGTCGTTGCTGACGTCGTTACTGTGCTGGTGCTACTTACAATGGTCGATGTTGCCGTTGTACCTGGCGGAGAATCTTCACTCGCGCCTACCAAAGCGGCCAAGTCCTCAGAGAACAGACGCGTAGGTGAGTAGGCGCTGCTGCGCGTTGTCTTATAGCCCATATCTAATCCCAGCTCGGTTAGTGTTGAGTGTAGATGTGACTCGGCGCTTGGGCTGGGGCGACGATGTTCAAGTAACGCTGATGGGGATGGACATTTCGATTTTGTCGCTGTTGCGCTAACGATCGTTGATTGATGGTGATGCTGATGTTGTTGATGTTGATGTAGATGCTGCTGCTGCTGGTGTTGTTGCTGCTGATAATGATGGCTGGAAGATGTTGTTGCTGTGGCTGAGATGGAAGCGGCTGATGTTGCTGCGTGATGAGGCATGGAACTAACACCGTAACCCAGAGCATGTTGTTGCTGCTGGTGTTGTTGTTGCTGCTGCTGCTGGTGTTGCTGTTGATGTTGCTGTAACACTTGTTGCTGCTGCATGTGTAGATGTTGTAATTGGTGCTGTTGCTGCTGGCTGAGCACAGCAGACGGATCACAACGTCCCATATGCAGAGCCATTGCCATGCTGGGTGGCAAATTAGGCGGCAGGCCAGGCAAGCCAGGACCGCATGGCGAAGGAGCGTGTCGTGGGCCCAACATTGAGGCGGCACCAGGATTCGATGTAGTACTGAGCGCAGGAGATATACTCGTCTTTGGCAGCGGCACCGAGCCATGTCCGCCGGGCGCAGCACCACTCGAGCCAGCTGCGGCTGCGGCGGCTAAGTGTGGCTGTAAATGCGGTGGCAAGTTAAAGAGGCCGGGGCCTGGCGGACCCTCTGACGGATGTTGGTGCTGAACAGCTGCCGCCAACTGCATTTGCTGGCGAATGTTATGCGCAACAGCTGCCACAGCGGCAGCCGTAGCCTCCTGTGACATTTGATCACCGGTGGGCGTCGGTACACCATTCGGGCAGGGTCCACTCATGCCGGGGTAGTTCATAGGGCCATCCTGAAATGGAAACATGGGCTAGAAATACTAATACAGTTAGTAAAGCTGCGTAAAACCAGCTAAACATTGAAAACAAAAAAGAGCGAAATCGAACGTCCACGACACTTACCGAATGCCGACCATAGGGTAAATGTGGTACCAGACTATCGTCTTTGAGGTCCTTTGCATCGCGGAAGACAACCGTTTTGATGACACCCTTAATATGTTCGTCCGGCCATATGCCGAGTAATATGCGTTGCGGACGCCCACGTCCTTTGGGTCGCAAATCGGGACCACCATCGATTGAGGGGCCAAGCATATTGTGCACGCGATTCGCGTATAGTACAAACGTCGGATAGGGTATGTCGTACTTGCGTGCCGCTTGCGAAAGTGAGAGTCCCTCTTTTAGTACGCTAAAAATAGCTTCGGCCATTGTTTCGGGACGCCATGACTTGAGTGGACCACGCTCGCGGAAGCGTAGATGATGCATCAAACTCTGATTGGTGTTCCAACATTTCTGCCACATGGATTGCAACTGGTATTGATAGCTGTCTGCTGGAAGGGAAACATGCGAGAATTTTTAATGTAGTAAGTCATTGATACAGATATTAAGTGATAGAAATTGATAGGTTGCAAGGATATTAAACTTCAACAAACTTTTTATTTATCTTTTGTAGCTTGCTTTTCCTAATAAAATGGGACTAGACCAGAAACATCGGCTGCTTAGCAAAACATAGCGCCAGTTTGAGGGTTTTGGACTTTCTTGTTGGTCCTGCAGAAGAACACTTAATCGACCATGTTGAGATCGACGGAAGGTACGTTTCGGTGTGTTAGATGTATGTACATATATACATACGATTGGTCGACCTAACCTCGACTTGGATCACTATTCTAGGTGCAACTAACATGCGGACACACTTCTGTACAACAAAAAACGTGCGTTTTAATACATAAAGAAAGTTGGATGTTGAAAAGCTGCAATCGTAACAGACAGCCATATTCGCATCTCTCTCTCCGGTTCTCAGAGTAGTAGAACCACATTTCTCACTCATCGTTTTTGCCAAAAAGTAGTGAGCGAGCCTGAATGAACAACTGGTACAACCAGTAGCTCGTTTCTGTTACTCTTCTCTACCGATTATTTTTCTACTGGTAGGGAATATATGTCATTCTCTACTACTCATTAGCAGTAGAGTACAAGGTGGCGAATTCATATATGCAAACATGTGCTATTTTGGACTGAGTAGACTATTGACAAACAAAGTCCTCTCTCATCGCACAAACGGAGTATATAGGGCGACAGAGATGTTTACTCCGTATGTATTAGTCAGTTTTCGCTATCACTGATTTCGAAATATACATATATTAAATTTTCAAAATTCAAAATGGCGGACGACTTAAAAAAAACATGTTTCATTGTTATGAAACTTTGTGTCCAGGGGCATTCGTCGTCGCTGATTTCGAAACTGGTATTAAGTTTTCAAAATTCAAAATGGCGAATCAAATATCGCGTACAACTTTTTTAAAATAATATTGATTGTTATGAAACTTTGTGTCCAGGGGCATTCATTGTCGCTAATTTCGAAACTGGTTTTAAGTTTTCAAAATTCAAAATGGCTCCAATACGGCGGACGACTTTAAAACAAATTATTGATTGCTATGAAATTTGGTATCCACGAGTATTCATCGTCGCTAATTTCGAACCTGTTATTAAATTTTCAAAATTCAAAATGGCGGATCCAATATGGCGGACAACTTTTTTAGAATAATTATGGATTGTAATGAATTTTGATAGCAAACAACTCTCGCAGTCACTGATTACGAATTTAACATTTGATTTCCAAAATTCATATAATTTTATATGTATATAATTAAAATCAAGAAATTAGAAAACTATGACCGATTTCATCACACAATAGGGAGGCAAAAATATTTCAGCTAGACGGTCAAACGCTTAAACATAATTTTGATCTCTAGGTTACGATAATATTTTCAAAAAATCCGTATCACGTCAACATTTTAAGATATTTTGTGTGATACAGGGAAAAAATTAAAAAAAAATAAAAAAATTTTCGTAAGTTTTTTCATTTGTATTAAAGCCTTTCTTTTGCGAAAAAATCAAGCTACTAACGAAGAAAATCGGTGAGTAAATAAAAGAATTGTGAATAGGCAAATGAAAATGCGAAATTATTTTTTTTTTTGTATAATAAATGTTTTGAGCAAGGAAAGACGACAATAACTATGTTGTGTGGCATACTCGTAGTACTACATGACGTATAAGTAACAATTTCCGCCATTTTGAATTTTGAGAATATAATATCAATTTCGTAATCAGCGACCCTAAAAACCCCTACATACAGTTTTTTATACGACTTTATATTGCCTCATACAAACCTGCAATTGTTGAAGAGCTCGATGCACCCATCCAAGCATGCGAATTTTCCATCATTTTGGCCTGCAAAGAAAGAGACGATCATTAGAGGTAATCAGTTGAAAGATATAAAAAGAATAAGTTCATTTAGTTAATACATCGAATAAAATTCAGACACAGGCACAGCTTCCGCATTTATTTTCGTTGTAAATTAAATAAAAAATACCTTTCGATTCAATTAGCGCAATCTTCTGCTCGCCTTCAACTGTCTGAAGTGGCGATTGCACTTATTATTCAATATTAATCTATTTGTTTGATTTTGTACGGCACGCATTCTTATTACATTCTTATATTCGTATATGTACTAACATTCTTGCATTTATTTAAGTATGCGTATACATAATGTGTATGTACATATGTATGCAAGTTTTAGAATCGTGCTTTGTCGCACATTTTCAACATTCATTGACTTGTTAAAATCGACCTACATATATGCATACTTATGTACATACATTCATATGTACATATGTAAGCAAATAGTATAAGAGCATATTAATAAACAAATTCTACACAAGTATGTATGACTTCAAATTTATGTATGTATGTACCACATATGTGTGTTCGAGTACACACAAAGACAGTTGAATATGTAAGCCTTTAGCCAACCATTCGCGCAGACAAACCTTAGCAAAGTTTTCCACACAATCCACATTAACAAAAAAACCTATACCTTTGTATGATATGTATGTATGTAGACGAAGGAAACATATCAATGAGGTGCAATGCTCGAGCTCAAACCCTAAATGCTTGCTAGTGTGCAAGCGAGTGTATAGCCAAGTGTGTGTGTTTATGTATTCCAGTAGGCACCAATGCCCCAATATAGTATGTAGTATGTACCAATGTAACAATATGAATGACTGTAGTTTGCAATAAATGATTCTCAAGTTTTAACTAAATCGACTAATTGCATAACAAAGTAACATTTGCACAAGCAAAGAGGGGCCTCCACAACGAAGGCGCGCCATCGATAGAGGCTGAGTGAGGGGGGGGTTTTAGAGACAGGGGGGGGGGGGGCACCACCCACAACACTTGTGCCTATTCCGGTGATTTCAATATATTCAGCTTTCAAGAGGCTACAAAGCCAAAGGGGATGGTAGAATAATTTGCAATTTCACTTAAATATTTAACAGAGGCAAAAAAAAATGAATGAATGAATGAATAAAGTGGATAAAAGGAAAACTGTTGTAGTCAAACAATTAAGCCAACCAAAGTGAATACTACTTCCACACATCGAATGTTTTTTTTTTATGCCATACATGCATACATGCATATGTGTATGTGTGTATGTATGTATTTACATATGCATGATTATGACGTCTCGTGATACGCCCCCATCACTTATGTAGCTTGATTTGCAATTGCAAAACGAAATAGCGGAAGTAGAGCACACAAAAAAAAGCAAAACAAAAAAAAAGAAAGAACGCAGAATAAAAACGAGGAAAAAAACAACGAAAAAGAGGCCACAGCTGCAACCACAAAAGTATGCATAGTTCAAGAAGTCATCGAGTGCTGGCACCTCTTCAAATGTTATTTACATATTAGCAAATAAAATTGGTAGTTAACCGTACAGGTAAATTTATCTAACAATTGTGCATGCACGTACTTAGTTTGTATGTGTGTAAGTAAGTATGTGTACACCACAATTCCTACAAATACATACATTAATATTAATGCTGCTCTGCTTTGTTATTTGCCTGAAAACTGCCTGCCTTTGAGTGCTGTTCGCACATTTACATACATACATACCCATAAGCACATGCATACATAGAAGTATTTGTGGCATAATGACAACGTGAGGAGAAAACACAACAAAATATAAATTTGCTGCATTTTAAATAATTGCTTCATTATGCTGTTTAGACACACTCAGATTGCCTGTTAGAATTTTCTGGTATTCTGAAATATTTCAATAACAAGTGTGCATTAGAGTAGACCAACAATGTTTTTTTTTCATCCACTCCCCACATCTGAAGAATAACGTATACATTGAAATCGTTTAATATATAACCGTATCACCGGGGCTTTGAAGATTTAAGAATTGCTATAAAATCACTAAAAATACATATATATTTTTTGTTCCAATAAAAAAATCTCCCTTCAGAAATCTTTAAAAAATAAAATTGTGATGCGTATATAAATTAAAATTTTACTAACACAATTTCAAAATAATTTCACAATTAAATTTGCACCCAAATTTCTATTGTTGCAAGATTTCTTAGTTGAAATATTTTTATTCGATCAAAAAATATATTTTTAACGATTTCTTAGCAATTCTACAAAAAAATATTTCTCCTTATTTTCCATTTTCTATAATCCTGGAGAGGTGGCAGCAAGAAAATTCTTAAACGTTGATTTTCTCTTTGAATTTTTGCACCATCCGAATCTAAGATGTGCTTGTGTTTTTGCAAAAAATAAAAATAAATAATCACTCATACGCCTAGTGGCCACTACAATTGTGAGTGCAAAAAATCGAAGAGCTGAAGCGGAAAGGTTGCTCATGTGGCTTGTTGACAAAGCTTCTTGAGTTTGCTAATGGTATCCTCCAAAGAAATCGGAAATATTGCGGCCTTTATCGCAGATGGGTGTTTCCAGCGGAAGGTCCACCACGACAAAAAAAAATAAAAGTTGTATATCTAACGTATTTACGGGCCGATTTGTCTGCTTTTTAAAATATATACGGGCTATGTAAGTAGAATCATGTTTGCATAAAATGGTCTTCCTAGGTGGTGCCAAGGTCGAGATATTTCGAAAAACCGTATTTATGGTCCGATTTGGTTCGAATTTGGCGTATGTGGTTGAAACATAATAAATCATAGATTTCTAATAAATTGACCCTGAATTGGCGCTGAAGTCAAAATATAAAGTATATTCTACATAAAATACATGTTTTATTTGCGTTGAAAATTCACTTAAAAGCAATATTAACAAAAATATAACGATGGAAATTTATTTCACGTGACGCCACGTCACGTCACGTTTCACACTTGGTGTTGTAAACGAGAATTGAAACAATTTGCATTATTTCAAAAAACTCTAAAAACAACTAGAACTGCTCCAAATCATACCAAAATAAGTTTCATCAAAATAGCCATCCACAATTCGCAGAGTTTTGCGATTTTGTAAGAAAAGAAAAAATCAACTTCCATTTTTTGTCACGTAACGACACTCTCTTTAAATGCTTATATTTCAGGACCAAGCAGTTCGATTGATTTCATTTTTTGGTTAAATATAGAGCTTATTATGTGCTATACAATGGCAAATGGTATTCCTTTTTTGTATCACATTGAAAACGTACGACTGTCACGTGCGCCACCATGGGAATGTCCAGATGTTTGAAAGCTTTTAATTTTCGTTGATCAATGCATGAAATCATCTCTCAACAAAATCTTACTCAATCTAAAAAAATGTCTATAAGTAAATAGCTTACTTACTATAACGAGCTTTCAACGAATTCTTTGGATTTCTAAACAAGGAAGGGAAAACAAATTACTCTCATATACATTTTTGTTTATTTCTTTTCATAATTAAATTTTTAGTTTTTTTTTAAGATTTTTTCATTGTATTTTAAATTTAGAAACTAGTACTTTCCCTCCTTTTTTAATTAATTTTTTTTTTACTTAATTTACTTTTTAGTTGTGAGATTTTATTGCTTTAAATAGAAAACAATTTTTGTTTCCATTTAATTTTAGGAGATTATTTAATTTTTAAGCTACATTTATGATTCTTAAAAGAAAAATACTTGATATGTAGCAACTTGCTTTAGTTTTTGTCAATGTTATTGTGGCTTGTTAACATTTTATTTTTAATATTTTTATTGAGCTTTGTACCACGATTGTTTATTAGGAAAAATTGAAAGAGCAACAAAGTCTAAGCGGTAGAAGTTATAGCACTATTTCGGAGATCACCACATCTCCTCATCAGACTTCTTTTCTAGACTTCAGCAGGAATCGAACCTGCGAATTCGATGTTCAAAGTCAGAAGCGTTAACCACTGAGCTATGTACATCCCGTAAACTCTTGTTGCTAATTCATTTTCCTTATTCAACCAACTACTATCAAGTGCAGCTGATTTGCCGCTATTTAAACTCGACAGCGTGGTTGTTGTTGTCAATTCTATACATCCATTTGCTTATTTGCTTTTTTGTATAGTTTCAGGCAGGCTCTTCCTAAACTATGTATTTGTCAATGTTATTGTGGCTTGTTAACATTTTATTTTTAATATTTTTATTGAGCTTTGTACCACGATTGTTTATTAGGAAAAATTGAAAGAGCAACAAAGTCTAAGCGGTAGAAGTGCTTTTGCTTTAGTTTCTTTAAATAATTTTCTTTTAATGTTTAGGTTTTATTGTTTTAAAAAGAAACATATTCTTTTTTTCTTTTTTTAATCTTAATAATTGTTTTATGTTTTTTTAGATTTTATTTTTTATAAAGAAAACTATTTTTTTTTGTGGGCTTGCAATTGTAACTGTATAGCCAGAATAATATTTTTGCTTAAGTAAGAGAAACAAAATGGTAAAACTATATCAAGAGGACAACGCTTTCATCAATTCTCAATTTGATTCCATACTTTGTCGATATACGCACATACATATATTATGAGTATGTTGCTAAGTAAATTGAATAAAACGTAAAGTTAAACAAGTACATGATCGAATTCTCTTGTTAAGAGATAGAATTATTTATTAATTATTTTATAGGTACAAATTATAATTACAAATATGCGGCCGCTATGGTGTAGTGGTTAGCAGTGCGCGACAGCATTCCGCAGGTCCTGGGGTGAAGCTCAGCTTCCGACTACCATACACAAAAATTATAATGAAAGAAAAAGTTTTTTTTTTCTAATTGCGGTCACCACTCGGCAGGCAATGGCAATCCTGCGGATGTCTTTCTTCAATGAAAAACAGCTTCTCATAAAAATTTAATCTACGTTCGGAGTCGGCGTAAAAAAAAGCTCGGCTAAACCCTAACATATTGTACCATAAGTGCCAATCTATGATTAGTTTATGAGTTACAAATTAG